TGAAGCTGCGTCTAGTGCCAGGTTTGTGGTCCTTCCTTCCTCTCTCTCTCTCCCCCTTCGTCCCTCCCTCTATCCATCCATCTCATTCACTTTCCTTTCCCTTCCCTCCCTCCCTTTCTTTCTCCCTTCCCTCTTTCTTTCCCACTTCCCTCCCTTTCTCTTTCTCCCTTCCCACCCTCCCTCCCTCCTCCTTCCCACCCTGTGAAGAAACCCAGGTCTTTGGTAGGAAGAAGAAAAGCCAGACGTTTTGAAACTGAGAACACGTCCATTGATCATCTGGCATTCTTAGAGCTCCACTATTGATTAGCTTAGCCTGAGCAAGGATAGCTAGCTGCTTTCAATAAGCTCTCAACTCAAGCTCCATGCCAGGTCTTCAAACTTGGCAACTTAAAGACTTGTGGACTTCAACTCCAAGAATACTCCAGCCAGCAGTGCTGAATTCTGAAGCCCCCCACCCCCCGCAGCCTGTTTTTGCTCCCAGGGAGCAGCAGAGAGGCTTACTAGGCACCCCCTATTTTGGGTCTAGCAGGCCTCCCTGAAGCCCCCTGGGAGCCAAAATGGGGCTGGTGGGGCAGGGGAAGGTAAGGTTGCGAGCCCGGTGGGGACAGGGGATCAGGCGCAGCAAGCTCCGGGGAAGGGGGGCTCGTGAGACTTACCTGTAGGCAGGAGGCGGCAGCTCAGTTGGGGCGCAGGGCAGGCACGACGTAGCAGCTTAGGCAAGCAGGCAGCCTCAGAGGTGAGGAGTGACAGTGGGGCGGGTGCGTGGCAGGCCTGGGTTGCTGTCGGTTCTAGTGACCCAGGCCGCCAAGTTACTACCTATTTGGCTGAACTGGTCCTAATCGGTAGGAACCCACCTCTGCCTTTATTCCATTGTTTTGCAAATCTATGTACACTACAAACTGTATGATTGTTTGAAGAGAAATGCATCTGTACCACCAGGCTCTAAGTGTGAGGAGGAAGGGCAAGCAGTAAAAATGAAAGTGAAACCTTCTAAGCAGCTTATAAATATATTAAAGAGCACTTGTGTCACTGCTGCATCACCAGCTGTCCCATTAAAGNCCGAATACTCTTCAAGGGCAGCCCCATGTAGAGCACATTGCAGTACTCCAGCCTAGAGGTTAGGATGATCAAGCACCTTGTGCAGCCTGAGTCTATTAGGGCTTGAAAATCCCCTTGGTTTTCTGTTTTTGGGGCTGTGAGGCATGTTGGAAAAAGGAAAGGGTGAATTGGTTCATTCACCATTGGGTCATTTTCTCCCTCGTCCTCGCTGTCATATGATTCGAGCGACTGGTTGTTGTTGCCTGGGGTTCCACCACTTTCGCCTGAGGGGGAAGGGGCCTCGGCAGCCTGGAGGGCTTTCCCAGACGTGTTGGTGGTCCGTTTGGGGCCTCATTCTGGTCGTGCACTGGACGGTGGGTCTAGCCTTGGTTTTGGGGCTGGGGTTGGGCATGCAGCTGCCATGTGGCCCATCCCCCCGCATCGGTAGCATTTCAGTGGACTTTGAGGGAGGGCTGGTCTCAGGGCCTGCTGTGGTTCCCCATCGGCTGGGTGGTTTCAGGTCAGGTTGACCTCTCTCTCTTGTGTCCGGTTGCTTTCTCATGTCGTTGGCGTACAGTCCGCTGCCAACTTTTGTTGCTACTCGGAACCACTCAGAGTGTCGATTTGGGAAGTTACCTGGGTAATTTGCTTGTCCAGGCTTGTTCTGAAAAAATACACCAGCAGCCGCTCTGGTAAAGGTAGCCTTCCTATGACCCTCCTAAATTCACGGATGTGCTCTTTGATGGGGCGGCCCCTCTGCTTTAGTTTGCTGAGTTCCTCTTCTGCATATGGGTCCTCCTCCACCTCCTCAAATCTGGCCTCTAGCAATTGCAGGAAGTCATCTATGTCTTGCAATTGGGAGGCTGTCCTCTTGTGGAGGGCTGCTAACCATTCCCTTGCTTCTCCCTCTAGCCCCTCTGTGATGATATTCACCATGGCTCTGGGGGATGGGTAGAGGTGCCCATAGCATTCTTGGTGGATATCAGCTGAATCGAGGAATAGAGCTAGCTGGTCTGAGTTCCCATCAAACTTTCCCCTGAATTAGGGTGGGTCATTCAGCCCTACTCCTCCAACCTCCTGTCGGCCTCTGTATGCTTGTGCCTGATATGACTGGCTGTCTTCCTCACCTCTAGTTCAAAGGGAGGGAGGAGTTTGTCTGCCCTGGGCAGCCTGCCTGCTGCATGGGAGAGGCACTGGTTGCAGTTTCGGGCTCCTTCTCCTTCTATTGGGTGGAGGAGGGGGGCTAAGCTCCAGTCTGTGTCTCTTCCCCTCAACAGGCTTAGATGTCCCTCCCCTCTCTTTTGGGCGGCATGATGGCCCCTCATCAGCAAGGGTGGTCCGGTCAAAATCCTCCCTCTGTTGCTCTATTGCACTCTCCAGGGATTCCATCTGGGGCTTTGGGAGCCTGGCTTGTGCCCAGTCCCACCTCCAGTCCACCCTTGCCAGCTGGCTTGGGACCCTTCCCTGTATCTTGGGACTAGGGTAAGAGAACTCAACTTCAGCTGCCTTAGGGGCTAATTTCCACCAGTACTCATCCTCTCTTGCTTTTGC